TTTTTTTTTTTGGTTATTTGAGGTTTTGTTTTGTTTCGTTTGTTTTTATACCAGGGATTGAACTCAGATCCTTGCACTTTCGAGGCAGGTGGCAGCACCACTGAGCCAAATCCCTGACCCTGGGGTTTTTGTTTTTTTACTTATTTTGGGGGTTTTGATGGTTTTTGGGTACCAGGGATCAAACGCATGGCCTGAGCTTGTGAGGTAGGCACGGTGCCACTGGCCCTCTTTTGCTAAAGTAATAGCCATGGACAGAGACATGCAAAAGGTTGTCCCCAAAGGGTGACCTGCTTGGCCCTTCCACTTCCTACCTTGGCCCTTTATCCAGCGGATCTCGGCATCAGGAGGGAATCAGGCTGCAGGGGCTTCCTGATCCTTTCCTAGCGCCACCTGTCTTGTTTTAACAGCCAGAGCAGTTTAATGGACAGAGCAACACCTTCTCGGGCAGCAGCTACAGCAACTACAGCCAGGGCGGTGTTAACAGGGTATGTCTCTCCCCATGACCTGCCAACAGTCCCACCTCTTTGGATACCCATGGGGGTCCCCAGCTGGGGTGCTCTTCCTGTCTGTCCACTCTGGGGCACAGAGATGCCCCAGCTCGGGGGTGGGGGCATAGAGGACAAGTGTGAGCTGAAGCCTGAGAGAGGAGAGGGCCGTCATGGCCTTCAGCCATGGTGTGAGGAGCCTGCCTGGCTGGGCCCGCCTCCCAGGTGGCTCAGGCAAGTCCCCGCCATCCTGAGCCTCTGTGTCCCTGTCTGTCACATGAGCCTGGAAGTCTGCATCCACCTGACCCTGTGTGGTGCGCCCAGATGGGGATAAGGGTCCTCCCTAGGCCAGCTGGCCTTCCAAGTGGGAGCCAAGGCCTGTAGGAGAGAGCAGTTTTCCCCTGGAGAATGTAGGGTGTACATTCATAGCCATAGCCCCTTCCATCTCTGACCCCATAACCTATTTGTGGTTTCTCTTTCCTCTAGCCTCCCAGGCCGGTTCCTGTGGCCAATTACCCCCACTCACCTGTTCCAGGGAACCCCACACCTCCCATGACCCCTGGGAGCAGCATCCCCCCCTACCTGTCCCCCAGTCAAGATGTCAAACCACCCTTCCCGCCTGACATCAAGCCAAATATGAGTGCTCTGCCACCGCCCCCAGGTAGGTGCCCCACCCCGACCCTCCCTCTTCAGCCAGGAGGAGCCTGGGGGCTTGGGAGTTGGGCTAGGTGGGGGAGAGGGGCAGAAAGGGCAGGGGGACCTGAGAGCAGGGAGCCAGAGGCAGAGGAAGGTTGCAAGGCTGGGGCGTGGCCAGGTGGACTTGCAGGAGTCCCTCGTGTGCATGTGCTTCTGGGTCTGTCGGTCCTGCGTCTGTGTTTTCCTGAGCATGCGGCCCAGGGCACTGCAGCCTGCGGCACGTGGCTCATCCATGCCCTGTCCCCAGCCAACCACAATGATGAGCTGAGGCTCACATTCCCCGTGCGGGATGGCGTGGTGCTGGAGCCCTTCCGCCTGGAGCACAACCTGGCCGTCAGCAACCACGTGTTCCACCTGCGGCCCACAGTGCACCAGACACTGATGTGGAGGTGAGCATGGAGGAGGCCCCGGGCGTTGCACTGTTGTGGCCTTGACCTGGTGGTGCAGCATTTGAACGTGACCCTTGGGGCCATAGCCACAGTGTAGGCAGAAGGCTGGCAAGGGCAGTAGGGCCCTGGGATCCTCTCCTGGGCTGGGCCCTGCTCTGATCTTGGAAGCAGGTGGTGTTTTCCCCTTTGACAAACAGAGAAGCTGAGGCTAGACAAGGAATTGGGTTCAGTTTTCTCAGCTGCCAAACTCAGAGCAGAGATGGGGTCCTGGGTCTTCTGGATGCCAACACCAACCCACAGTGTCTCCCTGCTGAGTCCTCTATTCTCAAGCAAGGGTCCCTGACACTCACCTGTGCCTCTAGGGAACTAGAGTCCCCTGCCCACCCAGTGAGTACCCCGAGGGCTAGATTCGCTTTCTTCTCTGGCATAGGCACACCCCATCACAGACACTCTGGAGCCAGCCCCTTGGGGTGCCAGGGAAGGTATTCAGGACATGGGATGCCTAAGCTGGGGGACTTCTGGCACACGGCAGAACTAATCCGGGGCACTGCTGGCCCAGGTGCCTTACCTGGGGTCCCCTGGCCAGGAGAAACTGCTGCCCCCATGGGTCTGGATATGCAGACTCGGCCTCGCAGTGTTCTTTTGTCTCTGGTCTTCATCCTAGGGGAGCAGACTCAACCTGGTAGTAGAGGGGACAGGGGAGGTTGCAACCAGAACCAGGGCTGGAGTAGGGGTGGTAGGGTTTTGAACCCAAGTGTGGGAAGATGAAGCAGAGAAACAAGTGTGGGGGGCTTACAGCTGACTTGAGCCCCACCCTACATCTAGGTCCGACCTGGAGCTGCAATTCAAGTGCTATCACCATGAGGACCGGCAGATGAACACCAACTGGCCAGCCTCGGTGCAGGTCAGCGTCAATGCCACGCCCCTCACCATTGAGCGAGGGGACAACAAGACCTCACACAAGCCGCTGCACCTCAAGCACGTGTGCCAGCCGGGCCGCAACACCATCCAGATCACGGTCACTGCCTGTTGCTGCGTGAGTATGGCAGTCACAGGCAGGACACACACAAGGCCCTCGAGTCAAGGGCTGCTTTACTACTCAGGCCGCAGTCCCCAATAGCCACCCCGTCTTTCATTGGTGGAGCACCGTGTCCTTTAAAGCTGCCGTCCCCTCATTTGCATGTGATTTTCTTTTCTAATCACATTTTCCCCAGACAGGTCATTGCTAAACTCAGAGTTAATTCTCTCCCTTTGTCACCCAGCCCAGTTGTCTTAGAGGAGTGTGTGCACATGTCCCTCCCACTGAGGACTGTGGCCTTGGGCAGTTGATCTTGTCCCTGAAGGTCAGGCACTGGCACACAGGGCTTCCTTGGGAAGATTGTGTGGAAATGAATTGCCCAGCCACTGGAGGGAGAACCCAAGCTAATGCTCTGGTCTTGCCCTTTACAGCATAGGGCCACTGAGGCCACAGTGACAGAAGTCACCGGAACAGGGATGCTCAAGGCTGTGCAGCTCCTGAGTGGAGCCATGTTGGGGGATTGGGGTGCAATCCTGGAAAGCTTCCTGGAGGAGTAGGGGAAGGGCTGAAGATGCAGGGCAGGCACAGTGGTGGGGGAGAATGGGTAGCCTGCTGGGCTCCTGTCCTAGTGCTGAGTGTCCCATAGCCTCATCCACTTTCATCCTGCTGTCCCAGAATGGTGACCTCAGCCCAGGGTCCCCAGCTTCTAGAGTTCCCTCTTGCAGGTCCTGGAGGACCCTCTCCCAGAGACACATCCCTGCCTTGGGGACCATCAGGCCTGGGAGCAGCCTAGGTGGGTGGAGCAGGTGACACAGAAGGCAGGGACAAGCAGTATTGCTGTCTTCCACAGTCGCACCTGTTCGTGCTGCAGCTGGTGCACCGGCCCTCCGTGCGCTCCGTGCTGCAGGGCCTGCTGAAGAAACGCCTCCTGCCCGCAGAGCACTGCATCACGAAAAGTGAGTCATTTGGGTGGTGCATGGGAGCCAGAGGTATCATGGCCCCGGTGCACCACGCCATCGTCCTCCCACCCTGATTTCAGCTTCTATCCTTGCACCCCGAATCCCACCAGGCAATGTCTGTTCCTATTTCCACACCTGCAGAATTGAAAGCAGAAGCTAAGAAGGGGCTTTTTGCTGACCCAGTAAATCAGAGAAGTGCCAGGCTGGGTTTCTGCCAGCTCTGCAGAATCCTCACTTCCTAGCAGAGGCAGGACCTGTTCTGCAGAGCTGTGAGCCCCTGCTCAGCTCCACACTTAGGGGAGGGGAGCCAGGGCTTGCCTAGGAGTATGCACAGTGAGTACCCGGCCCTCCTCACCTGCCTGTGCCCCTGCCCTACAGTCAAGCGGAACTTCAGCAGCGTTGCGGCCTCTTCTGGCAACACGACCCTGAACGGGGAGGATGGCGTGGAGCAGACGGCCATCAAGGTGTCCCTGAAGTGCCCCATCACATTCCGGCGCATCCAGCTGCCTGCTCGAGGCCATGACTGCAAGCATGTCCAGGTGAGGGGTCCTGGACCAGCTCTTTGGAGTCTGTCCACAATGGCAGGGGTGGGACCTGTCTCCAGCCTCCCGGGGTGTGGTCAGCAGCTGATGTCACATCTACTGTCATTTGCCTCTGACTCTCAGGGCTGGGGTCCTTACTCTGGCAGGTGGTAGACACCAGCTAGAAATCCCACCCAGCTCCTAACTGCATTCAGGACCAGAGGGCAGGGCCGCCTCTGCGTGGCATGCTTGCTGTGTCCAGGGCTTTGCCCTGCTCAGGTGCCCAGGACAGGCTGTGGTGCAAGTGACTGTCACAGTGCTGAAAGTCTGTGACAAGGGCTCAGAAAAATATGCACAACCCGTGATGGGTTAGACTTACTACGTGGAGGCTGCTCAAGGAAGGTCTCCCAGGAAGGGTGTGTGAGGAGCCATCGTTGCACACACTGGGGTGTGAGCATGCACAGTGGCCCTCGACTGTCACCCTCAGCCCCTCTGTGGGGCACAGCTGGTCCTGGGCCTCCCCTGCTGAAGGAAGCACTGTGAGCAAAGGGTTTATCTGACACAGATGGATGGCTTTGTACAGATTTTTCCTTGGTGCCTGGGATGGGCAAAGGGGTGGCCATGGTCCATACTGCCAGTGGGCTCAGCAAGAGTTCTGTTGTAGGGCAAAGCAGTGAGAGGCAGCTGGAGAGGGGGCCAGGAAGGCTGCTCAGAGGCTGCAGGCACAGGGTCACGTGGCCCACAGACAGTGGCGTGAGGGATGCTGGGACTCCAGCTGGCTTACTGTGTGAGCAGTGGAGCAGGGCACATAGTCTTTTGTCTCAGTTATATTCTCAATCTCTGGGACCTGACTACCATGACTTAGAGGAAGAGAAGTTTATTTTGGCTCACACTTCACAAGTTTCAGTCCATATTCAGCAGGTTTAAACACAGAAACAACATGGCAGAGAGCATAGTGGAGGAAAAGCTGCTTTCACCGTGGCAACCAGGTAGCAGAGAGAGAAGGGAGGAAGGAGCTGGAGAGGGAGATACCTTAGACCCTTCAGGCCACACCCCCAGGGGCCAGGATCTTCCAACCAGACCTCGCCTCCTAACACAAGTCAGCTATAAGCCTTTATGATTCAGTCACCTTCCAGAAGCCCCACCTAGGAGCTCATGGGGCTTTGTGGGGACATTTTAGATCGAAAGCACCTTTGCTCTGCACTCTACCTGTCTGCTTGCCTGGTGGGGAAATCTTCCCAGGGGTCCCCAAGGTGTGATGAGGCAGTTTCTGACAGTCCTGATCTCACCTGTCTGTCTCTGGCCTCTGCAGTGCTTTGACCTGGAGTCGTACTTGCAGCTGAATTGTGAGAGAGGGACCTGGAGGTGTCCCGTGTGCAAGTGAGTGACGCCACCGCTTGGGGCTTTGCTGCCTGGCCTTCCTCTGGGCCTTAACTTTGTCCACTAGTTACCCTAACATCAAAACAAAGCTGAAGTCCTGGCAGAGGAGCTCTGGCTGCCCTGCTGTGTGGCTGTCACAGAGCTGCCCTCTCTCCGCCTCAGTAGTACCAGCAGCAGGACAGAAGGGTGGGCTGTGCCCCTCTCTCCTCGAATCCAGGACCTAAGGCCAAACCCCTCTTCCTTTCAGTAAAACTGCTCTGCTGGAGGGGCTGGAGGTAGATCAGTACATGTGGGGGATCCTGAACGCCATCCAACAGTAAGTGGGGGCCCTGTGGATAGGAGGGGAGAGGGAAAGGTCGGCTGCCCTCGCCACCTGTCATCACCTACCACTGTACCTCGGCAGTTCTGAGGGCACTGAGCATTCCAGGAGGGACAGGACTATTAGCACAGGTTGGACCCTTCCTGTCCTCTCCCCCAGCAGTGCCCAGTGCTGCCCCTGGGTTTTCCCAGTTGCCAGGCTCTGCCCAGAGCGTGGTGTGATGAGTCAATCCAGGGACCTGGCATGGGCTTCCGTCTCCAGAGCCAGGCACCCCAGAACCTCAACCCTGGCCCTTATGCTCCCCCAGCTCCGAGTTTGAAGAAGTTACCATTGACCCCACGTGCAGCTGGCGGCCGGTCCCCATCAAATCGGATCTGCACATCAAGGACGACCCTGACGGCATCCCCTCCAAGCGGTTCAAGACCATGAGCCCCAGCCAGATGATCATGCCCAACGTCATGGAGATGATCGCAGCCCTGGGCCCTGGCCCATCGCCCTACCCACTCCCACCTCCCCCCGGGGGCACCAACTCCAGTGACTACAGCAGCCAAGGTGGGTGATGGAGGGAGACAGAGGCAGTCCCGAGTCCAGCAGGGCACAGGGTTTCTGTGCCAAGTGATCTTGAGGTCATTTGTCTCTGTATAGTATTCCTTAAGTTTCCCATCAGCAAAGTAACAGATAAAATTCCCTTAAACAAGCTGGGCAAGTGGATGCTTAGACAACTTCGTGAATTAAGCAAGACCCTGTCTCAAAATTTCAAAAAAAAACTTAAATTTTAAAAAGTGCTGAGTGAGAGTGTGTATATTTAGTGCAAAGGTCCTGGGTTCACATCCTCAAGTCTCTAGACCTGGGGCTTCAGATCCTGCTCTACCAGCTGAGATAGCCACTGTTGCTTCGGCTTCATCTGTATTTTTCCGTGACACCTGTTACTGTCCCTGTCCCTCCAGATCTCCCACCCTCCCAGGGCCTGAGTCGGCCTTGCCACCCAGGTCACCTTCTGACTCCTCGCGGTCAGGCCGCGCTTCACTTCTCATTCCGCTTTACTTCGTAGGAAACCCCCCGCCCACACCAAGGGTGTGGCACCTCCCTGCCGGGACCCTATTCTTACGACCCCAAGGGCTCCCACTCGATGAGCAGCCCGGTGACACTAGCACACCTCCCTGGAGTGTCCCAGCGCGTACCCAGACCACAGCGTCCCAACACTGACCCCGAGTCTTGTCATTGCCGTGTGGAAGGAGGGCAGTGGCCGGAGAGGCTGGACCACTGTTCCCTGTCTGGGTCCTTTTTTGCCCCTGGTGCCACTTTCTCTGTGGACTTAGCGGAAGACCCTGTGGGCCTGAGTCCCCGGTAGGAAACATGACCCTGGGAAAGAACCCAGCAGCTCCTGTCCAGGTGCACGTATGGGCCTCGCTGTGTCCCGCTCTGTAGGAGCTGGCGTCCCCTTTCTGCACGCTGCCTCTCCTTCTCTGCAGTAGCAGAACCTGTACACCAGGACCCCCTGGCCCGTAGTCTCCAGAGAGAAAGGACCTGGCTCTGCCCTTTGATCCTCTGTTCCCTGGGGTGGCCACCTCCCTCTGGGTAACTCTTGTCCCCATCTTGTTTCCTCCTCAGGCAACAACTACCAGGGCCATGGCAACTTCGACTTTCCGCATGGGAACCCCGGCGGGACGTCCATGAATGACTTCATGCACGGGCCTCCCCAGCTCTCCCATCCCCCAGACATGCCCAACACCATGGCCGCCCTCGAGAAGCCTCTCAGTCATCCCATGCAGGAAACTGTGAGTACCGCCTCCTCCCACCGTGTCACCACTGTCCCCTCACTGCCCCCAAAGCCTCCATCAGGGGCTGGCAGGGGCAGAGGACTCCCCCCTCAGGACCTTTCTAATATGGAAACCCAGTTTTCCTGTGCTGCAAAGGGGAAGGCTTAAGAAATGGGTCTGGGCTCAGAAGTGAGTAAGTGGTCTGGTGTGGTCTGTGAGCGTCCGTGAACTTGGTTGTTTTATTCAGGACTTTGGATTGTCCAGAAATGGAGAGAGCGTCAGGCTCCTCCACACACACCCACACACACACACACCCGCCATCATGCTATACTCCACTACTCCCCTCACTCACACACTCCTACATTAGTGCACAGGATTCCGGCCACACAGGGCTTTACCTAGCAGCAGTGGCCACAGCTGGCTGTCTTCTGAGTCCCTATTAGCACAGGTTGGACCCTTCCTGTCTATTTAGCAGATGTTTTCTGAGCCGTGCCCTAGGTTCATTTGTGCCAGGTGTGAGCAAGACAGAGGGCCTGTGCTCACAGACACTGGCTCTGAAGAGGGTGAGGGTGGAGGGAGAAGAGTTAAGAGTGTGGGGAAAACTGAGGCCCCACAGCTGAACTAGCTCTTCTTTCGGAGGCCTCGGTCATTCTGCTCTCTACGCTTTCTCCCCTGGGCAGGGGCAGTTCCTGAAGACCATGCCAGCCAGAGAGAGGGACAGGGTCTCCCCAGGGCCTGGCAGTGCCTCAAGAGCCCTGAGTGGGAAGGATCACTTCAGCTCCCACACCTTCTGTTGCATGGCAGGAAAGAAAGGTGCACCTGGCTTGTGCTGCTCTCCCTCATTCTTAGTAAGGGCAATGTTAACTCGGCCCCATAGGGTTTCCACCTACTGGGACTTGGGGCTTCTCCCTCAGCCCTGCTCCTGGGACCCTGGCACTGCACACCCAGAAAACACATGCATAAACACATCCCAAGCCCTCATGGACCTTAACCCCAGAAGGTGGCAGTGGGAAGGTCATCTCCTTCCACTTCCTTGCCAGGCTTTTTCTTGTTTTCTGGCCGCACTGCTGCCAGGGACCTGGGCCTGTGGGTTGATGCTCCCCACTGTGCCCCATCCTTCCTCTCCGTAGAAGGCAGCCAGACCCAGAAGTGCAGCTCTGCTGGGTGGGGTGGGGCAGTCAGAGTCAAGCACACAGTTGGGAGGGGTCCCCATGCATACAGGTCTGGCCAGGAGACTCCAGCCAGGGGCTCAGTGATGACCTGCCCCCTCCAAGCCCTGAGATGTTCCCACCTGTACCGGGGTTGAGGGCTGTGTCCTAAGACCAGGGGCCGTCTGTCCTGACCAGGGCACTGTAAGGCATCTGCTGGGCTGGGAAGAGTTTTCAAAGATAGGAGCAGGAGCTGACAGCCAGGTGGCCCACTTCCTTCCCCAGCCTCCTCCAGTGTCTTTCGCCACACAGTTCTCTTGTCCCAACCCCATAGCTGTGTGACCTCCCTGATTACTGAGACCAGGGCTGGAAGCACACTGTACTGTCAGTGTCACATTGGAGGAGGAGAAGAAGCTACCTCCCACAGAGGGCCTGGGGAGCCACTTGTAGCAGAAAGGAAGAGGAGCTGGGGTGGCATGGCTGCCGGGCTCACAAAAGAGGAACTTGGAAATGTTTTCTGTGCGGCCAGATGGTGGGGAAGGGATGAGGGGACCAGAAGCCTGGCAGAGGCAGCCGGGGCTGGGGCCCCTTCAGGCTGCTCCTGAGTGAGTGAGGGTTTGTGGATGTCACCTGCAGAAACTGTCAGGGAGAGCTCACTGGGAACAGCAGCCGGACACAGGGCATACTCACATGTCCCCGGCCTTCACTGTCTGCCCACGGCTGCACATTGTCTAGTTGGTTTCCTACAGGCATCGGACACCACCAGCCCCACCAGGGCACCCCCTTGTGCCCCGTCAGGAGGAAGGGCCACTGTGAGCTGAGATGGCCTGGTCACCCAGTTCCTGCCTCATTCTGCCCCTTTGACATCAGCCAAGTTCCCTCCTAGGCGGCCAGCCAGGGTGAATGGTCTCAGTGCCCAGCCTCACCCCCTGCCCAGGGCCACTTGGGGGCACAGTCCCAGTCCCGAGCTGCATGCCTGCCCTGTGCTGTGTGTCTGCATCTGCTCTGTGCTGCCCTGGCCCTGGAGGACCTACAACATGCTGCCGGCAGCACCCCCCGCCTCGCCGAGCCCCGGACGTGCCCATTTGGCTTCTCCATCCTGCCCTCGCTGTTGTTTGTTGTGGTGACGGTGTCGGGATGGGGAGCAGAGGGCCTCAGAAGAGCCCATCTCCAAGCCCTTCCGGCTCCGCATGGCCTGGGCGGCCTGAGCTCCGCCTCCCTCTCCATAACCTCCCTGATCAGCAGTTTTGGGGAGGATAGATTCTGTTTTTCTGCCCCCTCCAAAAAGGAGGCAGGTGTGTGGCACACGTGTGTAATCCCAGCCTCGGGAGGCTGAGGAAGGATCAGTTCAAGACCAGCCTAAATACATAGATCCTGTCTCAAAAAAAGTGACAACCACCATTCAGCTAAAGGGGCAGCTTTGTTTTGGGGTTCATGATCTCCCCGGTTTGTTGGTTTTCATTTTCTCCAGGCATCTCGTCGCTGTGCCTTGTCACCTCACCTCTCTTCTCTCCTGCTCTCTCCTCCTCCAGATGCCCCACGCTGGCAGTTCTGACCAGCCCCATCCCTCCATACAACAAGGTTTGCACGTACCACACCCCAGCAGCCAGTCAGGGCCTCCATTACATCACAGTGGGGCTCCTCCTCCTCCTCCTCCTCCTCCTTCCCAGCCTCCCCGGCAGCCACCACAGGCCGCTCCCAGCAACCATCCACACAGTGACCTGACCTTTAACCCCTCCTCAGCCTTAGAGGGTCAGGCCGGAGCGCAGGGAGCATCCGACATGCCGGAGCCTTCGCTGGATGTAAGTTGGGGTCACACTGTGTGCCTTGGCCTGGGGCCAGGCCTGGCACCAGGACCTGCCCGAGAGAAGGGGGGGTGTTGAGGGCACGACGCCCTGGTGGGGAAGCTGGGTGGGTAATGGGTGGGCCCTCGCCAGCCTCGCCCCCCCAGCCCCAGCAGCAGGAGGGCCCCTGTCCACAGGCCCCTTGGCTACAGTCCTGATCCCAGCCCTGCTCCTTCTACCCAGGCCCTGGCAGCGTCCTTCGGGGCTCTGAAGGCAGCCTGGAGGGTCCCTTTCCTCTTTCCCAGCCTCGTCCTCCCCTGCCCCATGTTGAGCTTGCTGTCTCTGTGTCTGCCCCTCTCAGGCCCTAGGCCAGGGCAGCACTGGGCAAGACAGGGCCCCTCTGTCTGTCTTGCCAGTCTTGTCTGTCTGCAGTGTTTTGTCCACTTGTTGTCCATTCCCTGCTTCTGCTTGCTCCATTGCTCCCCTAAAGCGGCTCCTGTGTGGGGTGACGGGGCAGGGTGGCGCAGTGGGATTGGCTTCAAGTCACAGTCTGGGTGGGAACACCTGAGGCTCAGGAGTCTCCTACCTTATGGCCTGACTGGTCAGGAAGGTGAGGGGTACAGAAAGAGCGGTTGGAGCTGGGCAGCTGGACGAGGCTGGCTCGGAGGGGACAGGACACCACTAGGGGCTAGATTCTGCCACTCGTGTCCTTCCCCTCCTGGCCCTCCTCTGTCAGGAGTGCTCCAGACCATGCCAGTAGGAAGCTTTTAGATGCAGAGAGAGACCCCCTTGCTCCATGGACATAAAGACTCCAAGGAAGTCACAGGAAAGGATAAGGGGCAGTGGGCCAGCCACAGGCTCACCAAGGAGCTCTGGGGAGAGGTCCAGGGATGGCCACTGAGTGTCCCCCTGGCCACCTCACAGCCCCAGTCCTCGCACTCCCACGGGACACCATGTGGCCTCTGCTGTGTGACCCACAGTTGTTCATGGCAGGTCTGAGAAGGCAAAGGAACACTCTTAGCTGGGCTTGGTGGTGCACACCTGCAGTCCCAGTATGCTGGGAGGCAGAGGCAGGAGGACTGAAAGTTGAGACCCAGCCTGAGTGACTTAGCACAAGACCCTGTCTTAGAATTTTTTAATGGGCCTGGGATATCACTCAGTGCAAAGGCCCTGGGTCCAATTTCTAGCACCAAATAAATAAATAAATGCAAATGCAGGCCCCCACTCGGTTCTACACTGGTGGGTTGAAGGTAAAGTGCCTCTGTCCCAGGCTTTGTATGGGGCTGTCCCCAACAAGGCAAGGTGGGCCAGGGCCCGGGAGACAGGTGGCAGAAAAGGGCACAGCCTGCAGGACTCTTGCATGCCCCGCCCCTCTACTCCCCCCTGCAGCAACCCCTCATGAAGACTCCCACCTTCTTTTTTGCAGCTCCTGCCAGAACTCACCAATCCTGATGAGCTCCTCTCCTACCTGGATCCCCCTGACCTTCCGAGCAATAGCAATGACGACCTCCTATCTCTCTTTGAGAACAACTGAAAGTCCCCTATCATCGGGGTCATCCCCCCTACTCTGCCTCCTGCCCTGTCTGCCCCTCACACCTGCCCCCTGGGAGCCCGCGCCTCAGGCCACCCCTTGCTGGGACCACAGGCTGGGTGTGGCTGGGGAAGGTTGTGTGGGGCCGCAGCCAGCGCTCCCCTGAACACCCTGGGCCAGGGCTCATGGCCAGAGCAGGCCCTGAAGACGACCTGCTGAGGGGGCACAGCCCAGTGAGAGGTAGCGACCTTTTGGTGCCCCCAAGGTTCTTCCATTTTCTAAACTGCAGCCCTGCTCCCTGCTTCCTGGCCCAGAGCCTCCTTCAAGTGACTAGAGCCTGAGAGGGCCCCCTGAGACTCGCGGGACCCAATCTCCGAGGAGCAGTGATGAGACTGGCTGCCCACCACCGCCCACCACAGAAAAGCACAAACCCCTGGGAAGGAAAGTGAAATCTCTGAGCCAAGGGCTGTGGCTCTGGCCCCCAACCTCTTAAGCCAGGAGATACCCTGTGAACGCTCCCTCAGAAGGCCCAGAGGACACAGTTCTGTATCTGAGGGAGGGGCTGCCATTCCTGCTGGGGACTGGTGGGAAGGGAGGTCAGGGTCCCTGGAGCCAGGATAGCGCATCGAGGGACTCTGCCTCAGGAAACCCAGAGCAGGGCCCAGCATTGAGAGGCAGACAGAGTGTGTGTGTGCATCCAGACATTCCCAGTACCTTGGGCTGGGGAATGTCATCAGCCAGCGTCACGTAGGAGCCACTCACAACTTCACCCCAAGCCACTCACTGTTTGGTTCAAGCTGCGGTCGACAGCTCTGGAGGACAGGAACGTTGCACTTGGGCAGCAAGCAGACACTTTCCCTCCATGCGTTGTTCCCCACCACCCACCTGCCTCTGCAAGACTATATCATGGGATATCCGCTCCCCTCCGTATCCTCTGTCCTGCCAGGAGGCTGCAGTGCAGCAGAAAGGCAGGGTCAGCACAGGACATGTGGCCTTGGTGGCAGAAGGAGCTCGGCACCCCCACATCTCTCCAGCCTCCCTGTCTGTCCATCTGCGCTCACTGCTGCATGTGCCAGAATGTTCCTGTGGCCACCCATGGTGTCCCTGTGGCACGCTAAGCTCACTTTAGAAGAGTAGCCTCTGGTCTTCCTCTACTGCTTAACTCCATCCACTGGGGACCCTGGGGTGCTGCTCTGTGTCCTCTGAGCCTTGCAGCCCTGTGGTGATGCTGGGTTGTCCAATCACTTGGGTCCCACCTGTAAGTTTTTTGCACCCTTCTCTGCTGCTGCCACCCAGGGTACTCCTGCCCTGCCATCCACTGTCAGTGTCCTCGGTCACTGTCACTCTCCTGTCTCCCTCTGTAGGGTGGGTGGTCCCCGGCATTTTTCTGTGGATCAGACCAAGAGAGGTGGCCCCAGCTGTTGACATGCAGTCACCATACCAAGCTGCACAAGGTTTTCTGTAGGGAAGCTGCCATCAGCCCGCCCCTTCTCTTCCTTTGTCCCTGTTGTTGTCGAGGTTTTTTCAAACGGTGTGTTGTTCAGTATGCAAATCACTTATTTTAAGAATCGCTTTTGTAAATATCTTTGTGAATATTTTAGTATTGTCTTTGATAATATTTGACATTTTCATGACCTGGTTATAGCCTTTGCTGGTGTTTTTAAAATACCTTGACTCAACAACAAAAACCGAGTCCTTTTTTAAAAAAACAAAAACAAAACAAAAAAGCAACCAGGGCTATTTGTACAGATAAGGGACAAACAGAATGAGTGGCTTCATTGGAAGTTGGAAGACCAGGCAACCCACTGTTGAGAGCCATCCCCAAGTCAGCTGGTGGGGACAAAGTAGCTGGTGACTGTCCCTGCCCAGTGCCTGTGGCCTGGCAGGTGTCCACACTATTTCTGACCACCTGGAATGTTCAGCTGTAGACAAACTGACAAATGCCTTCTTAGCAGCTCCTGCTTCCTGCCGTGAGACTGCCCCTTTCTGGGGACCTGGGGTCCCTGCTGGGTCTTGTCACAGTGTACCCAGATCCTCTTCCCAGACCTATCTTCAGCTTTCTAGTGCAGAGGTTCTAGCTGCTCCCAGCAGTCTGGACTCCAGGCATCTCGCTGCCATCCCTGGGCTGGCACCTAAGGCCTGGGTTCCCTCTCAAGCAAGCCTCCACCAGCAAGCTCAGTACAGAGCCTTCCTTCCGGCCAGCTCTGATCCGTGGTGCCTGCAGCCCTTGCTCTGGGGACCAGAGTGACAGGTGCTCAGCCAGGGTGTAAGGGACAGGCAGCAACCCCTGGGGGCTAAGTGGTCCCTGAGCAGGTGCAGATCAAGGCAGCCCTGTGGGCAGAGGCAGGCCTGAGCTCTGGAAAGATCCTTCCCTGATGTTTTCAGACAATGACTTGCAGCCATAAGTGACCTCCGCAAAAACGAGGCCTCAGCAAGCCACCTTCCCATGACAAGCATCAGCCCACCCATGGCACGATTCTGCCACCAATCCACAAGATGGACCGGGAGCCAGCGGGCGGGCAGAAGGGCCTGGAACAGGCAATCACCCCCATCTCCTTGGTTTGAAGCTTTACCATGTTCCCTGTAGCCATTTTATTTTTAAAGAAACTTCTAATACTTTCTCTCTGAAGGAAGCCCTAACCCCCAGAGAGCTACAAGTCTGCTCCCAACAGGCCTCGGGCCTGACCGGTCCAGACAGGGCAAGTGAGCAGCGGTGACTCAAGGGACGTGTGTACATATGTAAATGAAAAATAGACCTGTCAACAGATGCATTCATTTCTCTCGGAATGTGTATTGTTTTTATTTTACAAAACGAAACAAAAAAAAAATGGCTTGGAACTCCATCTTAACGTGGAAAAACTAGATCCTGTTTGTTAGCGTTTGTGAGTTCTCCACCTCCCGTCTCACTCATGTAATATACTCTGACCTGTGTGGAAAGGCAGTTCTGTTTTTATTTTACCTACATGTACTATTTAGCTTCAGTGTACTTAGTCCTGCCACCTGTGTATTTTTAGGGTGCTATGGAAATAATGAAGAGAAACGGGGATTTCAGAAGACAATTGTAACCAAATTCATACTTTGTATAATTTTTGATATCATGATCACAGGTGATTCACACGTACCCACATCCACACACCCACCAGTGCAGCCTGAAGTGACTCCCACAAACTGTCATCGTCTTTGTACATCATATGTACAATGCAAAAATCATTTCATATACTTAAACTGCGCAGAAAACTAATTGTGATTTCTAGTCTTGCAAAGCTGTATGTAGTTAGATGATGTGACAACCTCTAATATTTATCTAATAAATATGTATTCAGATGAAACCTGTATATTAGGTGTTCATGTGGTTATTTTGTATTTAAAGATCAAATTATTTGACTATTGCTAGACCTTTCTATACTCTGTTGTAACACTGAGGTATCTCATTTGCCCATGTTAATTTTTTTCTAAATAAATTGACAAAAATGAAGGTTTTGGTGAATTAGCAATTTTGTGGCTGTGAAGGAATGGTCTGGGTGTTTTCTGCTTTTGTTTTTAAACCACCACCTCTGTTCCATCTCTGTGTATGCACAGAGGAGTGGAATGGTTTGGAGTTGATTTGGAAGACACCTGTCGTCCCTGCAGAAGGCCGTGGGCCCTGGGACAGGTGGGTTTCTGGAGCCCCACGTCCTTGCCTCCTTCAGGAGGGACCCCCATCTCCAGTGGGGCAAAGGGGATTGGCTGGACATGGGGCCTGAGCAGGTCCAGATCATTCCTGTGGTGCTGGGGACATGGATGACTAGGGTAGCAGATGGCGGTCTCTGATAGTCCCTTGTGGATTAAAGAACAGAAACCTATGAATGTTGAACCACACTGGGTTCCGTCTTCATAGGGATGAAGAATGGAAGCCCAAACCTGGCACACTAGCAAGTGAAGAACTCACAGCTGCTCTCCCTATGGGCCAGCCCTCCCCGTCTCCAGCTGGAGACTGCTCCACATGGTGTCTTCTACCCAGGTTTCCTTATAGCCTGAACACCTAGCACAGACTGCTTCCGGGTCTCCGATTGAAGTTTTGGGGAAGTGAATGATTGGCAGCACCGCTGCCCTTCTTCCACTCATCCTGACCAGTGGGCAGTGAGAAGAAGACCAACATGACTATCTCAGCAGGGGCTGGGCAGACACCCCAAATATATGCACCAGCGTTGCTATCCAATAGAGGTCTCAGAGTTCTAGGTTCTTGGTATCCTGAACACAGACTTGAGCAGAACATTCTAAAGGAATAACTAGAGTGAGTTTAATAAAAGCAAGAGGTGAAGGTCCACTCCACAGGGTAGAAGTGGGCTGGTGAGAAAAGCTCAAGACCTCAGTAGAGGCACCACTGGGTCTCTTAGAGTTGTAGGATTATATTATGGTAGGATCCACAGTTGGCAACTGACAGGACTCATGGTTCACAGAGCATATGACGCTTGGCCCTCCTATGTTGGGCACTGGGAGAGTTGACCATACAAAATTCTTAAAGGAAGTGTTGTGGTGTCCAAAGACCGTGAGAATGGGGTCATACTGCAAGTGAGGTTGGACAAGGTCACGTATTTTGGTGTTTGCACATGTTTGGGGGTCTTGGGAGAATAAGGTGACCTTTACTGATCTCATGTATTGGTACAGTAGTCCTGCGGCTTCTTGTTTACATGTCCTTGCTCTACCTCCTGCTTCCTAAGACTCTGGAGGGTCCTTAGGCTGAGGCAATGGGATGACCTGTAGGGACTGGGAGCCAGGGAGTCCCACCTCTGGGCCTGTGCTTGGGTTGTCAAAAGTTTCTCTTGGGGGTTGGAAATGGAAGGTGAGAGAAAGGTTTGTGTTACAAATGGGATCTTGGTCACTGCTGAGCTGCAGGCACTGCCCTCTGCCAGTATTACCCAGTAGTGACTTCCTCCAAGAAGCCACATAGAGAGTGGTTAGCATAGCGGGGGGCTCGCCAGACAGTCAAGCCCCATTCGCCATTGCCTTAGAGCAGTGACCCACTCCAAGAAGCAATGAAACCAACATGGTGGGAAGTGACCAGGAGTTTTTGAGGAATTGAGAATAGAAAATATCAGGAATATACTCTAACAGAGATGGAGCAAGTATTGTATCAGGCAATTTTGGGGGTTCAGTGAGCAAACACTGAGTACTGATATGAGATGTTACTTTTTTTTAACATCAAAAGGTAACTTTAGGGGCTGGGAGTTTAGCTCAGTGGTTCTGCCACCTGCCTCACAAGCTCAAGGTCCCAAGTTTGAGCCCCAGTACAAAAAAAAATAACTTTACCCAAAGGGAATTTACATGGAAGATATATTTAGCATCAATTCATATAAGTGTTACATGTACTATTATTATGACATACATAAAAACAATATAATTTCACAATTTCCACCAAACTTCTGGCTTAGTCTATGTATGTCAGGTCCATTAAAAAAAAATAGATACTAGAAGCACCTAATTGAAGATGGCAAATACAAAATGAGAAAGATAAAGGGTGTCAAAATGTAGCATACGCAGCAAGGGGGCCCTAAATTTACTATGGAAAGGCTGCTAAGGAACTACTCAAAGTGAACAGTGGTAAATCCCTGGTCAGACTCTAAATTTGTAATGGTTTTACAATTTCAACTCTAACAGCAAGGAGAAGTGACAAGGCAGGTGGGCATACTATTCTCTGAGTATGTCCCTGTGTGAGAAGTCTGGGGCACTGTCACCTTAATATACATTTGCGAGATATCTGATTATATGAGGTGTGAAAATCAATTTGGTTATTTGTTCTTTAAATGCATTTCGAGATTGAATGGCACTTGGATGAATGGTGGCACAATAGGGAAGTGGATGCCTAGTAAAGCAGTATTAAAGCAGCATGTGAAGAGGCAAGTGCTAAAACTAAGCATTTCATACAATGGTAATTTTGAAATTATAGATGTTTTTCTTTCAAACTGCAAGAAGGCACCAATACCTCAATTTGCTGGGTTCATAGTACTTACCAATATCACATGTTCTGGTGAACCTGATCAAGAAGGAAAAAAGAAAAAAAAATTTTTTCAAAGAGAACAATTCTGGTGAAATCAAAATATAAAATTATGAAGACCAAATCAAATTGACAGTGGTGACTAGTATTTGCTCAAAGATCACAATGGGCACTCAAGACCAGCAGCTCCCAGATGACGGAGGTGCTGCTGTGGAGGTGGTGAGATGGTATGAAGAGTTTTTACTTGTGAGTTGTGGTTAAAACAGTTTAAATGCCATTGCCTTAAAGGCAGGAAGTAGACAGGGTAGGGCCAGGGAGAGAGGACAGTGTGTGTCCCAACTGCAGATCGAAACAAATCTTCCTGATCTGTGAACTTGGCATCCTTAAAACCAGGGACAGACACTGCCCAACCCAGTCCTGTGGCACTCCTGGGGCTACACAGAGATCAGCCAGCCCAGCTCAGCTAACACTGAGATGGTCCCTCCTGCTGCAGGCCTATGTCTGGGATGACAAAGGTCCACCAAGAAAGGAGGGGCCAGAGAAGGGCCTGGCCTGGAGAGGTTGGAGCTGAGCTTCCCCATATCCAGGGTTGCAAACAAGAGTCATTCTGCCTAGATCATCTCTCAAAGCCTCCAGGACTGCAGGATGCCACTGGGGGAAGTCATTCAGCACCAAAATACAAGGTTTCTAACTTCACTGAGCCCTCAGGACCCCCAACAACTGAGTGGCCTCCCCTCCCTTTTGTCCATTTCTGTCGCGAGCCGCTACATCAGGATCCTGCCAGCAGGTCCTAAACCTGAAAGGACGAGGACAGAGAGATGGGAGGCACTTTTCTTCTCAAGTTACTTGCTTGCTTTATTACAGAACCTTTTCCTTTTATACTCTCCAGCTGTACGGGAGCGAAAGTACCACCCACACATTCCAGAAGGAAGTAATAACAAATAGCAATAACAATTATTATGAGTTACATCTGCTAGGCAATAGATCAGATCACCAGCTGAACTAGCTGGTTGCTATGGGTGACGGCACTTCCACACTGCTCGGGTGAATCACAGGTCAATATGGCTGTGCTCTCCATAATTCCCCCGTTTCTCTTAGAGGGTACCAGACATATGTCAAAGAGCTCCTGTCTTAGGTGGCAGGGATGTCCTTTCTCCTTACCCGTCATCAGCGAAGAGGGCTTATGTCCCTCTTGCCTGTCTTAGGTTGGTAGAAAGGAGGCCCCGACCTTACCCGTCTCTGGATGCTCCACGGAGAGGGAATTATGTATGGCGGGCTTGTGCCAAATAGATGGACACCCGAGATGCGTCATCCTTTACTGAAACTTGTACAGCCATAGCAAATCGAAACACAAAAGATTGATACATTCTTGTCATCTTGCGATACATATAACAATTACAAATGCGAAAAATTATCAAAATTACAATGATCACCAATACAGGAATAAATATTACAGAAAAATACTATTTAGCAGTAGTACTGACAAACAGAAAATCCCACCATCTGTGATTTGAATCTTGAAAGAGAAGGGATTCCCCCCTAACTTTTCTAAGGTGAATCTATTTTCCAAAGTTCTGCAGACAAACTTAAGTCCATGGAATATTCGAGTGACCAGTCTAAAACTTTTGTGATGTCTCATTAAATCCTTGTTCTGGATAATAAAGTTTCCGCTTGTGCACCAAGATACATCCTGAAGTTTTTCTCTGCTGCTTCAGTGTTGTGGTCCCAATCCGGTCTCCTCAGTGGAAACCCAGCTTCAAGCTGTTCAGGGATAGTGGTAGATCTATAAATATACCTGTAACCATAAATAGGTGGAGGAGAAGAGAAGGGAGAATACCTAGACCGAAAGGTTATTATCATAAACAATATGCTGAAAAACCTGCATGGCAAACAATATGAATACATTTTATATACCAGAAAAGTAGCAGTAATAATTATTATAATTATATGAATTCTTATGTCCTGTAATGTAGCTTTGTATCAACAGGATCTTCCTTTTTTTTTTCCAGAAAATATTATATTTTGAAAATAACTATCAGAAACATGTTACAATAACATTTTTATAATTCAGACCTTTGAT